AGAAGGCTTCTGTCAGTGAGGAGGGCTTCTAGTCACGCCACCATCCAAATCAACAGATCACAGCAGAGGATCCAGGAGTACTCTAAGCCTCGGTGAACACAGGAGGATTAATCAAGTCGGGGACTGGTGAATTCATTTGGGTCAAGGTCACACAAACTGTTGTCCCTCTATGTCTTTATTTCGATTCAGCTGGAATCGTCTGCCTAGGAACCTGTGCTCAACGAACGCACTGAGAATGAAAAGCTGGGGGCCAGGGTCTCGAAAAGGGAAGATGACACACCTTCACACCAGCAACGTAGGAAGGAGGCCTCATTCCAGACTCCACACGATCTCACTTAGCTTCATGCGTACGACGAAAGGAAGGGATCGCCAAATAAGTTCAGCGATCTCACTCTCGCTGCCGACGAGGCCCGGGCTTAAATAGACAGTTACATCACAAGCCAAGACTCCGTGCCATACCTTAATTGGTATCCCATCAAACCTAGCTGGCCTGGCGGACGAAAGTCAGTCGCCTGCTCCGTAATTTAGTTAAGAAAAGGAAGTCAGGACAGCAGCTGATTGCGGAAGAGGTGCCAAGAAACTGGACGGACAGCCATAAGCTTCAGGGCATTAGGGCACCCCTCCCTCAACGAGTGCAGCCGACGACGTCCCAGCTTCTATCGACGGGGCACGTGCCCAACTCGACCGGTTTGCTTGCATCTTGTTGAACAGAGGCTATCGGCTAGAAATGCAGACTGAAGCCAAGCCGCCAAACAAAGCAAAGGCTGGGGTCGTCCACACCTCAGGAACATGCTATATTCTTAGGGTAGGGGGCCATGAATGCAGACTAGGGGTGGAAAAATGAAAGGGCGATCTGACAATACACTACTCTTCATAAGGGAAAGGGACATGGTAGAAGGTGAAATCCACAGGACAGCAGGGGTGGATCCTATACGTGCCCTCCCGCTTCACGGAGCAAAGTTTATTTATTAAAATACTGATACCCCACCTTTCCTTTTGGCTCAAGTTTGAAGCCTTCCTCTAATGCAGGGTCTCTAACATGGTGCCCGTGGGCACCATGACACCCAGCGATATCTTTCCCGGCGCCACCAAGTGTTTTTAGAATAGCGGAGTGGCCAGGTGGGGCTTCCGTCTTGCAAGGCCGCTGGAGTTTTGACTGGCTGTGTAGATTTTTTAAAAAAGTTGCTTTGGAGCAGCTCCCACTTCACTGTGGGGCTGAAGGTAAGCCATCATTCATTATTATTATTTATTACGGTCAAAGACCCATCAAACAGCATACAGGATCAAAAAAGCAAACTCAGGTTACCAAAACATTACAGAGATGAGACATCATAAGGAGTATTAAGGAGGAGCTTGCGCTTTGCAAATGCAATAAAAAGAAATTTAGCAACGTTCCTTGATATTGCAATGGATTTGTCCTCCAATAGATATTTCAGCACAAGTTCCACAGAATGGATTGCTAGTTGTCCTTGGACCCTAAATGACCTTAATATAGGTGTAATTAAGAGGGCTCTTTCTTTTGCATAATAAGAGCAATAAGAGCACCCTGAACACGCCCGATCTCGTCTGATCTCGGAAGCTAAGCAGGGTCGGGCCTGGTTAGTACTTGGATGGGAGACTGCCTGGGAATACCGGGTGCTGAAGGTAAGTCACGGTAGCCCTTTTGTGGCTGGCTCCGCCTCCTGCAGCAGCTCCTTTGTTGCAGCCATTCTGCAGCTGCGCCCACCACACCGTGTCAGAATTCCAAAGGTGCCTGCAGGCTCAAAAGGTTGAGGACCCTTGCTCTAATGTATGTGGACCTTCCACCAGAGGAAGAGCTGCTTAAGCCGGCGGAAGGCTCCTTGGGGGAAGGTTTGGGTTCACCCCAGTAAAACAGCAGCTTGGTTAGGAGGATTTGTGCTGATAACACGGGATGCTTACACACTGCAAAGCAAGCAGCAGTCGGATACTGCAAGCTTACTGCCCTTGCAAGATGCGCTGGAAGTGATGCTCCCTCTAAGCTGTGGAGTCCCTGTGAGCAAAAATCCTACTTTGTGAGCTACCGGCATTAAAGTTGTGAGCAAGCGATTTGGCTGCTGCATAAATTAGTTTGCTCTGGAGCCCCATCCTTCCTGAGCTAAGGCAAAGATGTATGAGCCGGAGGCTAAAACACTGAGCTAGCTCACACTGGCTCAGCTTAGAGGGAACAATGGTTGAAAGACAGGACCTTGACTTTCTTTAATGGGATCTGACCACTAGCACTGCCTACACTGACTGCCAACCGCCCTCAGGAAGACTTAATGCCTCTCAGCTCTGCTATCTGAGGTTGGCTGGTTTACACGTATAGGAGAACACACATCAAGCTGCTTTCTACTGAATCAGACCCTTGGTCCATCAAAGCCAGAACTGTTTACTCAGACATGTCGTGGCTCTCCAGAGTCTCAGGCGGAGGTCTTTCCCATCACCTGCCACCTGGTCCTTAATTGGAGATGCCGGGGATCAAACCTGGGACCTTTTGCCTGCAAGGCAGAGACTCTGCCACTGAGCCATGGCCTTTCCCATGTTCTGCTTTTCCAAATGGTGAGTATTTTAAGCAGGGGTCATTTCGTAGAAAAAAAGGTGCAGGAGCTCATTAGCATACTTCATTAGCATAACTTATTTGCATATGCCACACCCCCTGACATCACCGGAAGTGTGTCAGAAGGAAACACCCCCCCACTCAGGCTCCACTGGACTGTTTTAGATTGCTAGCTATGGGGGGGGGGAGGAACGTGCAGATCTGTCCTCGCAGAGGAGGGAGAGCTTGTACCTGAATGAAACTTGGTCTTAAAGGTGCCACTGGACTGTTTTGGACAGAGGGGGGGCGGGGGGGGAGCTCTGCAACTTGCCTGGCTGCTTCTTGCTCTGACTGAGGGCTGCTGGGAGCAGGGGGCGGGGCTTATTGCATGTGCCCGCCCCCTGGGCTCTTTACTGCCGGAGCTCCGACTTTAAGCAACTGGGATCATAGGAATAGAGACTGAAGGCACAGCTTGACAGCTAGAAAGAAACCCCCAAAGTAGAGGTATCCGGAACAAATATTCAAGGATAGGCATCATTAACTGGTGGCCCAGTGGGCAAACCTGGGCCGCTGCAGCATACCACCTAGCAGCCCAGATGCCACGGGGCAAATTCTGACTGCCCCAAAGGGAGTAAAAACTGTGAGCAACCTGCTTGTCACCACTTCTTCCCACTGGGGTGGATCCAAGCATTCTTTCACATCACCTGATCCTGTCAACTGGAGATGCCAGGGATTGGACTTGGGACCTTCCGCAACAAGGTGGCAGTAGAAGGTGGTAGAACGAACCGCACCGCTTCAGACTGTAGGTTAATGGGTTCCAGCTTTTAACGTTTCTTCACACTGAAAGCTCCATGCAGATGGAAAGCCAGCACAGCAGAGAGAAAGCTTCCACACACCCAGGCACATTTGTATTTGCTTGCTGCGTCTGTTCCCTCCTTGCGGAAAGCTACTTACATACGGGAGCAGTCCAAAATGTGGGCCTCCACAGTGTGCAACCCGCAATCTCAAGTGGTGCAGTCCCTTCTGATACCGTATTCCCAACTCATTCTCCTGCACAGGATAGGACCCGAAGCAACGGGTTTAAATGACATGCAGAAAGGTCTCGGCTGGATATTAGGAAAAAACTTTTTCACAGTCAGAGTGGTTCAAAGGTGGAAACAACTGCCTAGGAAGGTGGTGAGCTTCCCTTCACTGGCAGCTTTCAAGAAAAGGCTGGACGAATATTTGTCAGAGATGCTTTAGGCTGGTCCTGCACTGGGCAGGGGGTTGGACAAGATGGTCTGTATGGCCTCTTCCAACTCTAGGATTCTATGTGGAACTAGTTGGCCACTGTGTGAGACAAGATGCTGAACCGGATGAACCACTGGTCTCATCCAGCAGGGCTCTTCTGATGTATAATTCAGGACTGAGACCCTTTAATTTGAGATTTCACGGTTCAGACCACAGAAACACAGATCGGGAAGGAACTTCAAGGGTGACATACTCCTAAACCCCAACACAACACAGGATATTCACAACTACCTCCCCCACCCCACTCCCCCAGGAACCTTTGCGCTATGCCCAGAGCGAGGCAAAAATCCTGCAGGAACCCTGGTCAATCTGGCCTGCAAGAAAATCCCTTCCATCCTGACTACAAAGTGGTGATCAGCATTACCCTGGGCATTAAAGAACGGGCCATGAGAGCCGAGCACTGACTCATCCTTTCCTGCCCTCCCTTCTCATGATCTGTCTAAGTTCACAGAATCAGCGTCGTTGTCAGATGGCCATCTAGCCTCTGCTTAAAAACCTCCCAAGAAGGAGAGCCCACCACCTCCCGAGGAAGCCTGTTCCACTGAGGGACCGTTCTGTCAGGAAGTTCATCCTAGTGTTTAGCCAGAAACTCTTTTTGATTTGATTTCAGTCCACTGGTTCTGGTCCGACCTTCTGGGGCAACAGAAGACACCTCCGTTCCATCCTCTGTGATCTTCTTCACAACCCTGTTGCTGATCTGCACCCCCACCCCCGACACACACAACAACCACTTTTTAATCAACCGTGGAAGTCACAAATCCTTTATCACATAGCTGGCCTTTAGCACTGATTCTTGTTCACACCAAGGGGGAAAAAAGAAGTTCAACATAATGCTTATTCTATACATTCAAGGTGAGAAAATGGTCAAGATGCTTCTAGCACTTCTATTCTCTGAACAGAGGGTTGGTTTGTTTGTTTTTAAACACCCTGGGGACAGGTTTAGTGGGGAGCCAAACATTAATTTGGCTGCAAACCACAAGAGACCAGCTAAGAAGAGGTAGTGGCAGAAACCACCTGCCCTTGACGTCCGCAGTTTCTGTGGAACTTCGGCCCACAAGACTTTAGCGGGAATATGCTTCGCCTTTGGCAGATGCAGATATTAATAAGGAACCAGCTTAACTGCACAGAAACGCACACCATAGAAAAGATATTTAAGTAGTCATTCAGCACTTACCCTTCTCTTTGGTACTCCTCGTCCAAATTTGACAAGAGCTGAGAACCTGCTATGGACAGATCTACGGCAGCGAGCGGCAAATCCCGGTAAGCAAAATTAACAAGCTGTACAGGCGCTATGCTTTTGGTTTCTTCTTCTACTTGCTGCGAAATTATTTCCACTTCTGAAACTCCACCATCTATAGGAGGCCTGACGAAGAGCAAACAAAACAGGGCAGGGAGAGGAACACAGGATCAGTAAGAAAGGGCTGGCTGGGTACGTCAAGCAGCAGCATTCAAACTAATTAACTAATTAATTCTTTCTTTCGATTGATATCCCGCCCTTCCGGCAAGTGGGCTCAGGGCGGGTCACAACCATCAATTACAATAATTAAAATGTCGTTTTCCAGATGGTTATGGTTCTAAAGATTCTCACGCCTGAACAGTGCTACATCATGACGACGACAAAACACTCTTGTATGTGGAAAGCCAGTTTGGTGTAGTGGTTAGGTGCGAGGACTCTAATCTGGGAGAACTGGGTTTGATTCCCCACTCCTTCACATTCAGCTGCTGGTGTGACCTTGGGTCAGTACCAAGTTCTCTCAGAGCTGTTCTCTCAAGGGCAATCCTCAGAAGAGCTCTCTCAGCCCCACCTACCTCACAGGGTGTCTGTTGTGGGGAGGGGAAGGGAAAGGAGATTGTAAGCCACTCTGAGACGCCAAGTGAAGGGCAGGGTATAAAACCAATCTCTTCTTCTTCTTCTACGTAATTGTTTGTTTTGTTAGTTTGTATCCAATGGAACGGATGAAGGACCTGAGACAAGATTTGGCATACTACAACCCAGCAGGGATGGGATAGATTCCAATTTATTCGAGCAAATGTCTATCCTACGAACCATGCTGGGACGCACTTATAGATTTCTCTGCTGGTAATACAGGAGAGCTTGCTCAGTTCTGTAGAAACACTGCACTGTTTCGCTCATATCGCCTCCCGCAAATAATACGGTGGCTGGAAAGATATATTTGCTTTCTAATGGAAGCGGCGGCAAGAATCTCTTTGCTTCCATCACTGCCTTTACAATCTGACTGCCGTCACTGCGCTCACTTCTCTCTAAAAGAGGTGATCAAAATCTTCAAGAGATCTGAGCGGCCTGGATAATTACCTGGATAACATTAACACCTTGTATTCTAAATAAAGGGCCAAATAACGTTAAGAGCTTGTGGCTAATCCCGGGGTCAACATTCAGAACAAAAAGCGCTTAGGGCTCTTTAGCTTGGAGAAACGACGACTGAGGGGTGACATGATCGAGGTTTATAAGATTATGCATGGGATAGAGCAGGTAGG